GGAACACATATAATGGGAACATATAGCGTGCAATTATCTTAAATATTTCATATCTATGTGTAAGATGAAATCAACTATGCACTCATTTGTTAAAGTGATGACTTGAAAGTTGGGCAGCGCTTCGCTTTAGCACTTGCCTTTTCCTTTGATGTGACCTAGGTTTAGCTATAACTATATCTTAGCTTATGATTCTTCATGACTAATTAATAGTCTAGATTTATCAATAATCCCTATGTCTACTGATCTATAGCTGATAAGAGACAACCAAGTGCCATCATATCGGATGTAGTGTCCCTTTGGTATATAGAGCATACTTTCTGGAAATCCCACCTTAAACACCTCACTAAATCCAACCTAGACATCATCCTTGTAAGTAGATCAATTAGTAATATGACGTTGAATCATTGAAAAATCTTATTTATAGGTACATAATAATGACTTGTGACTATAAATATAAGTTACATTGAAAGCAAAAGAGTGTAGCTTAACTTACAAAGTTTTTAGCAAAAACCAGGAAATTGCACTGGCAGAACTCCGTCCATGCTAGCTATTAGATGTCACGCTCTCTGGGACCTCAGAGCTTCGCTAGATACTTAAAACTAAGGGAAAATAGGCTCAAAATTGATAGAATGTAGCATCCGATTATCAGGTATTTCCATTTTAGCCTTAACCTAATTGGATATTGCATATTTGGTCCCTTGTGGTTGAGTTTCGCATTTCATCCTGTACGTTGTGTGTACATGTGGGTATGCACAGCGTATTCGTGAGATCGGATCGCGGAAGCCATGCTAGTATGTTGGGCGTACGTGTGTTATGCCAAGCGTATTAGCTCAACCTCAAAACCCTACTTAAGGGTTTGCCTCCCTATTCAATCCACCTTATGCCTCCCTTGGACATTCCCTATCAGACACATTCCCTCAAAAACTCTAATCTTGAATCTATGCCTTCTTTGTGAGGGTTTGCAACTTATTAGTGATTTTTGGTGCTTATTTGTTGTAGAAAGAAGGCTATTGAAGAAAGTGGTGTTGCTTACAAGCTTGTAGATCCAGAAACTACTCCTTATTGTGCATCTTTTTAAGGTATAAAGTCTATACCTTGATGTGTTTCCTTTTTGATCCCCATAGATGAGTTTTATGAACTTTTTTTCTTGAAGTTTGTACCTTTGTGAGTATGGGGCACTCCAGAGCATATTAGTTGTCCTTTCATGCATGTTAGGTCTTGTAGATTCATAAAAATGGTTGCTTGATGGTCCATTTCAATCCATGCAAAGAGTTTGGTGGTGATGAGTGTGGATTAAGTTAGAGTTTTAAGGTTCAAGCCCTTTTCAGCCATGCAAAGGCTTAAAGTTTTAGACTTTATGGATTAAGAAGTTCTAAAAAGGTCTGATCTATGTTTAGATGCATGTTTTAATGATTAAGACCATTTTTGGAGTGGTTTTGGGGTCAGATGGCGTACCCCCCACGTACTACTGGCTATGCCCAATGTAGCTAAATAAAATCCTGATGCCGCCTGATTACCGAGTATGCCCCGTGTAGGAAGATATTATGGCCAGCGTACGCGTTGGGCAGTTGACTTTTGTTGACTTTTGACTTTTGGTCAATATTTTGGGTTTTGGACAATGGGAGGGGCAAAATGGTATTTTGGCCCTTAAGGGGTTTAGTTGTAGGGTTTAGACTTGCGAGTTAAGTAATGGAACTTAATTATTAATTAGGGTTAATTATTGTGTTATTAGGCAGAGTCTAGTTCTTGTAGTTCGGGTGCAAGATTTATCTGTCATCAGTATCAGTTAAGTTTCCTTTATTGTATCTATGGGTCGAAGGCACCAATATCGGCCTACTAGTTTATGTTGTGGTATGATAATTATCTTCATGACAACTTTCAGTTATGCATGTGACTAAAAATCAATCATAAAACAATGTGTTAGATTATCAAAGTAAAATAAACATCAACTTTCAATCTTGAGGGGGATTTTGTGTGATCATGTGGGGCCCTTCCCTTTCGATCTAGAAGTACCTAAAATATTAAAGCACAAAATTGTAAGCATAATGCTTAGTGAGTTTTCCCTAAAATACCACATGGCGTACATATCAGTGGGCCGAGCCATGGGGTATATTTCAAGCCAATACACATCAATAGGCCTAACCCTAGGGTATGTTCAAGCCAAACACATATCAATAGGCCCAAACCTAGGCTATATTTCAACCCAATCATACAATAGTAGGCCTAGCCTTGGGCTGTGTTTCAACCCAACATACATTCAAGATTCACAAAGACAACTTACATCTGTTATCATAATCTAGTGGGTCAATATTGGTGTCTTCGACCCATAAGTATAGTGAATAGACTCACCTATATCACGAAATCAACTAACCACATAGCTACTGCCATGAAAACAGTAATGAGACACACCTATTCAATCCAATACAACACACCTTAATCTAATTTCCAACACTAGCTAATACTGACCAAAGTCAAACTAGGTCAACGAGTCAACACACAACATCAAAGTCAACAGTCAATAACCTTAATATTGATTCTCACGTCGTGACCAACCCTCGGTCACATTGTGAGAGCTCACTCGGTCGAATTCCAGAAACTATCTCCCCAACTCAGCCAACTTAGTCACGGACAACCCATCCAACATATGTCACAACGTGAGCCATTCTTAGACACATTGTGAGAATACAAAAGATCAACAAAATGAGATCTTTATTGGTCATGTCGTAACTTCAATCTGGACCAACACCTTATTGAATTAAAGTTCTTACCATTAAGGTTCCAAACCTAACTCTTTTAGAAGCTAAAATGGACCCTAAAGGCCCATAAAAATGTTTACTTTATGGTCATGCATGCACCCTGGATGTCATTAATCCATTCTAGGTCAAATATAGAAATAGGACACCAAACTCTAATGCATGACTCCAATACTTCACCAACTTTTAGATCCTCACCATATGATGCTCAAATGACCATTAGAATCCATAAAGTTGCTAACGTTATGGGTCTTCTCCAGTCAAGCTTGCTTGATCATGAAGGAGTAGGACAAAAACCTAGATCTAGCCATATAATGCAATAAAGTTTAAGCCTTTGACACTTACAAAGGTCCGACAGTAAAAAGATATGATGATGCTGGTACTTCTTTGCAAACTCCACCACTACGATACTTTTTTTTCCTTCTTCTCTTCTTTTTCAAGCTTGCAAGTGCACCAAAAATGGCTAAGGGTCTCTAAGTAGATTATAATTTGGGTTTCTAAAGGTTAGAGAGTGAGAGAGGCTCAGGATAAGCTACCCTCGCCTCCTCATTCCATTAAATACTCGAAAAAATTAGGGTTTTTGGTCATCTGGAGGTTCTCACGATGTGACCAATAATAGCCCATGTCGTGGCACTCAAAGAAATGCGAGTCAATGATCAATTCTTACTCACGGCGTGACTAGGCATAACTCACGTCGTGACCCATTTCCAGGATGCAAAAATACTTGAAATTTAGTACCTACGAGATATGAATGTTACACCTAAATTAAATTTTTGGCTACTGTGAGTTATTTTTTATCTTATTTTTAATTTGTAAAAGTGATTTAATGTGATAATATATCTTTTTATAGTTTATTATGGTTATCATATAAATGACCATTTTGTATATTATATTTTATAACATTTATTAAAGAAATAATAATTTATTATCTTTAAACAAGAGGATAAAATAGTTATACAGATTCAGACAATACATCCAGTTTAAAAAAACAATATATATATATATATATATATATATATAGGTTCAGGTTCATTTGAAACCATTCTAATTTTGTGAGACCAAATCTAAAATTAATATTAAAATGCAAAATAAATGGAAAAATCCAAAAATTCTTTTTTTAAATATTATTTTCAGAACTTGAATTAACTAAAACAAATATAAAAAAATTATAAAAAAATAAAAAAAAATTCCGTTTTTTGTTTGAAAAATACGTGAAATATTCTAAATAGAATATTACACTGACATATTCTAAAAAAATAATGTTAAAATGCAAAATAAATGGAAAAATCTAAAAATTCTTTTTTTAAATATTATTTTCGGAACTTGAATTAACTAAAAAAAATTAAAAAAAAATTAAAAAAATTCTATTTTTTTTGAAAAATATGTGAAATATTCTAAATAGAATATTACACTGTACATATTCTAAAAATAATTTTAAAATGCAAAATAAATGGAAAAATCAAAAAATTCTTTTTTTAAATATTATTTTCGGAACATGAATTAACTAAAAATAATTTTAAAAAAAATAAAAAATAATAAAAAAATGCGTTTCACGGTCTCACAAAATATAGGGGGTCTCAAATGAACCTAACCATATATATATATATATATATATATATATATATATATATATATATATATATATATATATATATATATATATATATATATATATATATATATATATATATGGGTAAAGTGAATATACCTAACAACCTTATATAAGCTTAGGTACCTAACCACATTATACTACATTGTTTTGCATTATATTTTCATTGCAATCGTCTAAGGTTCTTAAACTTCAACCATTAACTTGATTTACTTCCAAGATTTTCAGACATTCACCATTATATTCTTCCTACACCATTTGATTTGTAACGGTAGTATATGAAGCCCACCAAGGGTCTTCGATAGAAAAACGTCATTTGAAGGAAGATAATGGTGAAAGTCCAAAGATTTTGGAAGCAATCAAGTTATGAGGTTGAATTTTAAGAACTTTGGGTGATTACAATGCAAATACGATACAAAATTACGTAGTATGATGTGGTTAGGTACCTAAGCTTATATAAGGTTGTTAGGTATATTCACTTTACCCATATATATATATATATATATATATATATATATATATATATATATATATATATATATATATATATATATATATATATATATATATATATATATATATATATATATATATCGACAATGTTTTATCAATTCAGTTATTATCAATTCAATATATTTTATAAATTCAAAAAAAAGGCCAAACTTTCCTTATGTTATTTACTTTCTATATATTATGAATTACAATTACAACTACATTATAAATAGCCACGAGACTCGTGAAAGAGAGCAAAACCATTATCAACGTGGCAACATGGCTCTTAATACACACTCCGCCTCTCATCCTCTCAACCTCTGTCATGTAAAAACAAGAACCCTAATCATCAACAGATTATACATATTCTCTCACTCCATAGCTATAGCCTTCCTCATCTACTACAGAGCTTCCTCCATTCTCACTCTAATAGTTACAAAAACACAACCACTCATCCCCCACCTCTTAATCTTCATCGCAGAACTCACTCTCTCCTTCATTTGGATTCTCAGCCAGTCTTTCCTATGGCGACCAGTCATTCGAACTGTCTTCCCAGAGAGGTTGCCGGAGGACGAACAACTTCCACCCATCGACGTGTTCATATGCACTGCAGATCCGGAGAAGGAACCGCCTCTTGGGGTTATGAACACCGTTGTCTCCGCCATGACTTTGAATTATCCGGCAAGGAAGCTTACTGTTTATCTTTCGGATGATGGGGGGTGTCCCGTCACCTTGGAAGCCATGAGCGAGGCTTGGAGGTTTGCTAAGACATGGGTGCCGTTCTGCAAGAAGTATGGTGTTAAGATAATTTGTCCGGAGGCTTATTTCGCCGAAAGAGGGGTTGATGACGAGGGTTTGGTGTATAATGATGAGTTTGCAGCTGAGAAAGTTAAGGTTAAGGTTCGTATGTTTCCCTTTCTACACATATTTCCTCTACTTTTATTTGTGTTTTCCATCTATTAAAACGTTGTGTATCAAATTTATATATAATATAAGTGCAGATGTACTTAATATAAGGTAGTTATATAACGAAAGATTTTATGAAAGTAAAAGCAGCTGTAGAAAAAGATTAAATCGGTAAAAATAATTGAGCTCAAAGTGTAAATTAATTGATTCGTCTTCGTAAACGGAATTAAAATAAATAAATAAAAAATAAATTAATTAATTAATAAAACAACAACAACAAACAGAAATGTCATTATAATGTTTCCAACATATTTTATAAGCGACTAATTAATAAATATTTTTAACGAAATTAGGTTTTTTTAAAACATTAAGAAGCATATTATTAAATGTCTTTTCACGTATATTATTTTAAATTCTATTTTTGTGGTAAGATTCGTTTTCTCTTTGTGAAATTAGATTTTTTGACTTTTATTTTGTATTTTATTTTTTGTAAACTGCTGGTTGGACCGCGATTGATATAGCATTTTGCCGTACAAATAATTTTGCAATATTTGTTTTATGAAGAAAGTGAATATAGTAAAATGAAATATAAAAAAGGGTAAATTACATGAGTGTTCATTGTGGTTTACGGTAATCTACGCGATCGGCTACTAACATTTTTTTTAATTCGGATCGTAATTATTATAAGTTTTTTTTTTTCTTTTACGTTTGATCCCTACCACTCTTAAAAAGGTTGTTTTATCAAATTATCTTTAATAATTAAAATTGTTTTTTTTTAACAATTTTTGTCTGTTATTATTTATAATATTATTATTATTATTTAAAATTGATAAAATATATGTTGTCCACCTTCACCTCTATTCAACCCACCCCTACACACGGCAGAACACAAGCTTTACAAGTGAGGGGGTCGAAATAATATAAATTAGGGGTGTCAACGAGCCGAGTCGAGCTCGAACCTGATCAAGCTCGAGCTTGGCTCGTTTAATTTTGAGGAAGCTTAAGCTCGATTCAAGCTTTAAAATGAAGCTCGAGCTCGGATCGTGAACAATTTAGTGAGCTCGCGAGCCTAAACGAGCTTAAACTAGTCTCTCTCTCTCTCTCTCTCTCTCTCTGTCTGTGTGTGTGTGTGTGTGTATATATATATATGCATAGTAGGTGTAAAACCCATGTATTACATGTGTTCATTTAAAAAAAATATGAAATTCTAAACATTTAAGAAGTTTAAATTTATAAAAAAAAATTCGAAAAATATTGAATTATTAAAATTAAAGTGTTTTTCTCCTTTAAATTTAAGCATAAAATTTAGATAAATAAACAAAGGAAAATAATGATGTTTTACTTTTGAAAATTTGGAAGTAGAAGGAAAGTTAATTAATGAAATTGATATGCATTTATTAATACATTTATTGCAATTAATACATTTAATCAATTATTATATGAAAGTTAATAAAAATGAAAATAACCACAAAATGCTATGTGGAAAGAATTTAATTGAAAATAACCTCAAAATGACAAGTGACAAAATCAATGAGAGTGTGCTATGTGGCAAAAATATTTTCATTTATTAAAGTAGAAGATGTGTGTGTGTGTGTGTTTGTGTGTGTAGGTTCGTTTAGGCTCGTGAGACCACTAATTAAAGCTCAGCTCGAGCTCGTGTAATAAACGAGCTTCATATTTAGGTTCAAGCTCGGCTCATGCTCGTTTAGTTTGATCTCGAGTCGAGATTTTAATAAGTCGATCCCGAGTAGTTCATAAGTAGTTCTGCTCACTTACACCCCTAATATAAGCTAATTTGGTTTACAACTTTAAAAGGTCTTTCAAACGTCTAAATTTCACTATTATCATGATCATTTCATATCGATTAATTATTGTTTCTTTATATTACTAGTTATTTGAGTGGCAGAAGTATTTAATATCCATCATTGTCGTTATCTAATCTTTAATGCTCAAAAATAATAAATAAAAAGTATAATTTTGTGAGAAATAAATTATGTTTACAATTATTTTATATGGCTTATAGATTTTAATACTATTGGATACAATATTGTCTTATTATAATAATTTTGTTTTAATGGTTTTTATTTAGTATCTCAAAAATCAAGGTAAAATTTTCATTTTTCAAAACCAAACTACAAACCATAAATGTTTACAAAACTTAGTTTCCAAAACTCAAATCAGAAATCAGAGTATCCCAAAATCAAATCTCATGAAAGTTGAAGGATGTGTACGATCAAGCATTCGCATTGCCCCAGTCATTTGAAGTACCTGAGACATAAAACCTAAATTGCAAGTCAAAGTTTAGTGAGTTCCCCCAATTATCACACACAACCAAACAAATATACAAAATACATGCTCGGACCATAATCTTCTGATTGGATTACCCTGGCCTACAACCTCCATATTGGATTGCCACTTTGGTCTATAATCTCCTGATTGGATTGCCACTCTGACCAATAATCTCCCGATTGGATTTCCACTGACCCACAATCTCCAGATTGGATTGTCTGGGTTTGTTGGCCGACAACATAAAGCAGTACAACCTCAAACCACCCACATTATGTCGACATACATAAAAAAAATAAACATATAACTTGCAGATTCATGTAATCATACAGACTAAGCAGTTATCACGGTTAAAGTTTCAATAGTAGTCACATGCCGCTATTTGAAATTGTGGTTATTCTGGTGATATGGTAGTGGTATAACGGGATTTTTAATATTATATATAATTTATATTATATATTTATAAAAAAATTTATGCATTAGAGCATTAATATTATATAGAATTAACTTCATAAAAAATCATATAAAGATATTACATAAACCATATATATAATATTCTAATATAGTAATATGGAAACTAAAAAGTATCAAAGTGTCATTACAACTCAAGTCGTTCGTAGTTTCTAAGTACAAAAAGAGACGAGAAAGAGAAATTGTCATTTGTTGCTTTGTAGTTTGTAATTAACTAGATTTATTATTTGGGCTTATTAAAACAAAATGTGTAGTGGACGAATTAAAAAAAAAATATTGATTTAATATTGAAATAGCCCACAACCGGTTTTTTCTTTGTCAAAGTAGCTTGATGTGTAACAAATTGTAAAAGCGGGTGTAGCTTCGTTATAGCGCTGATAGGGTTCGCGGTAAATAGCGATCAATAGTGACGATAATATCGCTACCGTTATTCGTAAATGCCATTTCAAAATAGTGGTTTAGTACCTCCGTAAAACGCTATAGCACTGTTATAGCACGCTATTGATAGCATAGCATACAGATCTACCAATCTAACATATAGTCAATATATCATCATCCTATATACTAGGATACATAACCAAATGGGCTGGCATTGATACCTTCGACCCATGAGTAGAGTGAAGAGAAACTCACTGCACGATTAGGAAAATAGTTAAACTGAATACTGCTCCAACTAAGGGATTTACGGGTCACCTGTACAACACACAAGGACCAAGCCTCAATCTACTATTCAAAATGTTCCAAATGATCTAAAGTCAAACTTGGTCAAAGTCAAAGTCAAAGTCAACTCTAGCTAGTCGCCATGTCGTGGCTGCTAGTTGACAAAATAGATGGGTCTTGACTCAGTCGCTATGCCATGGCAACCTAAGTTATGATGTGGGGACTAGTCTGGATAGCTTAAACCATTAAGCAATTTTCCCTCCAACTTCAAGAACTCCAAAGCTCAAATTTGGTCCTTCCCATGGTCTTGATGGATAAAGATTTTAACTTTAACCCTCAAGATGCCTCAATAAATCAAGATCCCAAACCCTAAATCTTTAATGATAACTAAATGAATCAAGACTCTTATTAAGCACATAATCCTTAGAGTAGCACCTCCAAAGCTTCCAGAATGACTCCTTACTCCTAATAAGCCTTAAAAATCGTGGCTTTATGGACATGCATGTCCAATGCATGTCATTTCCGTTTTATGTCAAACTATGAGCTTAAAGGCTTAAACCTGAACACAATATAAAAAAATCCATAGATTTTCAGATCTGGAACATATGATACTAGAATGATCTCACACATCCATTAAGTTACCATCTGGACCTTTGTAAGTCCCCAAGATCCAACCTTTATTTTGTTTACCCTTAGGTCTAGTCCTTTTGTCCCTAATATATTTTAGAATGAGAAATTGGATGGTTGAATTTCATATAGTTGCTAACTTTATGAGATTCAATCATCTAATTTCCCATATTAAAATATATTAGGGACAAAAGGACTAGACCTAAAGGTAAACAACATAAAGGTTGGATCTTGGGGACTTACAAAGGTCCAGAAATGTGTACAAGGTTGGTGAGTAGATTTGCTTGCTGGAACCAAGCTCAAAGATGCATTCTCTTTCTTTAAATGACATCAAAACACACAAGAACTTTAAAGGTTAGAAATGGAGGCTAGGGTTATGATATTTTTTTGGGAAAGGTTGAAAGGGTGATGAAGGTTGAATGATCATGAAACCCTAGCCTTAATGTTATTTATATAGGGATCAAAACCAAAAAATTAGGTTTTTTCATTAAAAACACCTGCCACGTCATGACACCTATGGCCACGCTATGGCGAGTCATTAAATCCCGCAATCTAAAACGTTTTCCCACACCATGACGTGGCCACCCAAATTTAAGTTAATATATTGTAAGATCGGATTCATACCTGGAACAAATGTTGCATTTAAATATTTTCAAGTTAATTATATTTTTAACCAGTGTCCCTGTGATTCCATAGGTTGGTATTTTCTTTCCTTAATTTTTTGAACTCTTCTATAACATAATAATAGAGATCATATCATATTTTGAGACACATTTAACATAGATAACCCTAATACATAGTAGTTAAACGTTAGTAGTCCAAAAAGATAGGGAGTCATGGCCTCTCTAGGGCCCTTAAGGGTTCCGCCCATACCACTACCGTTCACCTTCTTATTCAGGTTCTCCACCACCATTATCTTTGTATTTTTTAGTAAGACTACCAACAAACCATCACTAACCCTTTTTCCTGAAGCAAATCGTTGAAAAATCAATGCCAGAACCAAGTCTTAACCAAATTACCACTCAATCTGAATCAAATCGAAGAAGAAAACTGGAAAATAGGAAAACTAACCACCATATCTAAACCAAACCTTAAGAAAACCAAACCAGAAACAACATTTTAAGCAGACACCGGAGATATGTGAAATAGAACATAGTTGATGGCATCTTCCGACAAAATCGACAACTCTGATGGATGGTAAATTACACGAATGGTGCACCGAAAAGCAAAAAAGATCATCTTAACCCACTTCATCTGAGAATAGCTAAACCTGTCGGCTCTCACCCTATTTCCTCATATCATCCACTCACCCCCTGCCATTACCTTTCGTTTCCCTTTCAACATCGGGTTGCAGAAACAAAAACATCCAAAAAAAAAACAATTGGTGACTGGTCCTCGTTCGTGTTCTTCTACTGGTGTATCGATGACCACCAGTTTCCTCATTCTTCATTCTCATTCAAGCTAGTAGATTTTGATTTCTGAAAAAAACTTGAAAACGAACTATATCCAGCTCTGATGGTCTTCAGATCTGGGCTTTTTCTAAAAACATCTAGAAATGGTACTCTAACGGCTTGGAATAGCTCATACTCATATAAACCATGGTTAAGGCTAGGATCCAACTAAAAAATTCATAACTTAGAAAAGTGATGTCATAATCTAATTGTAAATTTTATAAAGGTGTGTAAATAACGATTACCAATTTCACCAAACGAAATCTGAAAGAAATTAAGTTAAGTGAAATTCCTAGATCTTTTGAGATTCATTGAAACTATTCAATGAAATGTTTAATCTCAGTTTATGCTCTTCCATTGTGACTACGATACCGATGATCACAAACAAGATGTGAATAACCATGTAAATTAATTTGGCACTCTCGATGCCATTTATTATCTCATTTTAATGTGTTGATTAACAATACGCGCTCTATTAATCAATGATAATTTTCGAGATGCCTGTCGTTACTCTTTATGGTCACCATTAGTGTGTCGGTTAACCACGGACACTCTACTAACTACTATAAAGTATAATGTGCAATTTCATGGGATAGCATACAAATTCACATTTTTCCTAAAGTGGCTAAGATTTGGATTTAAAAAAACAGTTCAGTTACTTTTAATAGCATTATACTTTTAATGAGGATTAATTTGTCCTATCAAACTCGTTCGAATCAAACCTGTTCAACTAACGACCATCCACCATACAAGAGAGTGGTGGTTAAAAGTGAATACTCAATGACAATTATTTTATAGGTCGCTTCCTTAAACTCCCCTTATAGCATGGCTTCGTGAATGAGACTTACTATCGGTTCGACTGACTTAGTTTTATACATATAGTAATGATTAAGCTTTTGATTTTACATATAGTATAAGGTGTATTTTTAAACTTTTCAAAATACTATGTTTATAATTAAATTTAAAAAATTAATAAATAATTTAAAATTAAAAATAAGCCAAATGATTTAATATTTATATGTTAATTAACATTTAATTAAAAATATTAAATTATCTAATTAAATTAAACAATTAATTTCATCATAATCCTTAGCCTCTAAATTTTCGAAAATATGGTATAGAATTTATTACAATTTTAAATTATCTCTTTCTTAGGCAAGTAAAATGATAATTACCAAAATTTGAAAAAACCTAACAACATACCTAATTTTTGAAAATTGCTTGGGGAAGAAAGTTAGGGTTTTAAAAATCTAACCATACATTCGAAACTTAGGGTGTAAGGTTAGGGTTTCAAAACCCTAACCCTAATATTGAAATTGAGGCCTTTTAGGGTTTAGTTTCCATAAACCCGAATTTGATCAAATTCAACAATTATAGAAAATTCAATTGAAACAAACCAAACGTTTTGATACCATTGATGAGTTTTTGGTAAAACAAAAACAAATTAAGACCTATGTTTCTTTATTGCACATATAACTATGAACATCAAAACAAGAACCTTAGAAACCCTAGGTGATTTTCGAAAAACATATAAAAGAGTTTAGGATTACATACCTTATTATTATTATAGTAAATAACAATGATCATTGACTTGTAGAAGCGTTGGAAGCAAGCACCACAAATGTCATGCCTCTAATGCTTCACACCCAAGCTAGCAAGAATGAGATCAAGGAGAGAGAAGGGAGGAGAGCAAAATTTTGGTGACCAAGCAGCCTATATTCCCTTGCTTAATTAGTGACCAAGCAGCCCAATCCTTTTACCCAATGGCTTTGGATGAAAATTCTAGGCCTTCCCTAGAAGATTTTGTCCACCTCATCTAATGAGGTTCTAGATCATTCCTTCATAAACTTTCAGTAAATAACCAAACAGTCATTGTACTTTTAATTAATTCAATTAATTTTATCAATTATTAATTAAATAATATGATTTCTAATTAAAATATTATTTTCATAACACATTAATAAATTTATATATATATATATATACACATATATATACATATATATACATATATATATATATATATGTATATATATATATATATATATACATATATATATATATATATATATATATATATATATATATATATATATATCAAATTGTCCAATTGGGACCAAATGACCTAGAAAGTTCATGCATCCAAAGCCTACAACATCAAATTAGGGCCGCTCCTCTTGGGCCTACAATATGAATTGGACTGGCCAGTTCTCTTAGCCTACAAAGCAAAACATGATCACCTCAAGCCAACCACAATATGTCAAAATATGCAAACAAAAAATAACCAGCAAGCACATGTAATCATGATAGATCTATAATTCTAATTGATTACTAAACCATATCAACATCCTAAAATACAAGCATACATACTATAGTATAAAATATAGTGATAATACTCACATCACAGACGAAAGTAGAAATCCCTATAACGCATCGTACGTAGTAGCTGATACCACACCTACCTTGAAAAATAAGAATAAATTCACAATCTAAGACATGAACAATAAGGTTTGACCTTAAGTCAACTAGATCAAAATACAATGGTCAAAAGTCAATAATTAAGTCACCACGTTGTGTACAGGTAAAGTTTCCAACTTTATCCTTTCTCTAGCCTCTAGAAGCATATATCTAAAACCTTAACTCAAAAAGGGACCAAATGACCTAGAAAGCTCATGCATGGTTGATTTATGATCAAGATGCAAACATTATGGAACCATAAGGTCCAAGAACTAGCATAGATCTTATCCAAGGTCCTGGAGTTGCTTCAAACTCCAACGATTCATTTCCAAAAGCCAAAAAGTGACTTAATCACACCATAAGCGACTCCTAGAATAGAAATGTATGAACTTTATACCTTCTCATGCCTAAGGGTTGAAGCAGAAGCATTCCTCAATAAAAAACAAGTCACCTTACAAGCCTGAATCACCATCTCCTTCTGTAAGGAACCTTTAAAGGCCAAGAACACATACATTTCTCACCAAGAACACACATAGACACACATACACACTATGGTTTCTCTCTAAAGGATGGAGGTTGGAGTTGAGAGGAAACCATAGACAAAATGTTGTTTAAATAGTGATCAAGACTCGAAATTAGGGTTTCTCATTATGCCGCCACCACATCATGGTCATCGCATGACCACGTCGTGGTGATTAAAAACGTACGTTCCTTAATGGAGTGCTACCACGTCGTGTTGAGCCTCATCACCACATAATCGCATTCCTAAATACAATAAACTGTCAAAATTAAATTGGTTGGGTCTCAAGAGCAATACTTGAAATAGATGTTATAGTTTTGTAAAAATAACTTAAGCTATGCCTCATGCCATGAGTCACTACATGCGAACTTTAATGCCACAACTCTTGGATATGTGTTGAGTCCTTGCTTTGACAAACATTATATTCCAAATAAAAAACATTTTTGGGAACAAAAAAATGTCACATGCATGCATTATTTTGGAATATCATTATTTCATATTACATAATAAATCGATACTAAAATAATTATGTATATTTATCTCTTTTAGAGTAAGGTGAAGATGACAAAAGTGTTATATCATTAATTTTGACCGTCATCAAAGGGAAAATGATTTATTTATTGGTTTTGTTGGATATTTGTCATGTGAAATATCTTATTTTCATTTATTTTGCAATCAAGAACGATTAGTCGATTACTATATAATTAATCTTGTATTATTGTTTATTTGTTTTATGTGCTTAATTATGGTAAGAAATGAAATTTGCTTTTAAATTATTATGCATTTGACTCATATTGTTGATGATTAAGACATAAATAGATAAAATAGTTGAAAAGAATAGAATTTTTCAAGCGTTTCATTTCGTTTTCATTAGTTTAAAATCATGTTTATAAACTATCATATAAATAATAATTTGAAATATCACTATACATATTGTTGAGAAATCCATTTGATCGCATTTTGTAAAAACATGCGTACTTTGTCCTATAAATATAAATCATTAACCCTATATTTATAATTATCAATCTCAATTTTACATCTTTAAAATGGCAAACTATTTCTTTCCTTACATTTCTTAACAAATAAACACATATGTTGAAAATTCTCATATCAATGGCGAGTTATGTGTTTGGTATCACATACAGTATATCCAAAACTTATTGTCTGTTCGTATTCCTGGATACTTATGTAAGAGTTTATGTATGGTCTTCAAGCAAGTATTGGCCTTGTATTGATTTTTAAATTGATATGAAAACAAAATATATTGAGATTGTGGAATTTTGTTGCATGCGTGATGTAGGGAGAATATGAATCTTTTGCTCATAAAGTGACTAAGATATCAGAAAGCGAAAGATGCAGATCAAACAAGGACCATTCTTCTGTTGTTGAGGTAATGTGGATTTCTTTTGATTTCAAAGATGCTTTTATATCTTTCAATATATTATTTTATATTATCTTATGAACTTTCTTGCTACATTTTTTCTTCTACAAATCAATTAATAGTATTATAATATATGACTAGGTCTAAAAGCTTAATTTCTTGATTATTATTTACTTATTTTTAGAATTTGTATCAATCAAGTAGATGTCAAGTCTGTCGAAACTCAGTATATTTCATATTTATTATGGTAATTAAGATTTAAGACATTAGTTCTTTTATTTAGTTAAAACATTATAGATACATACTAGCATACATGATGTTAATTCGGTAAACTTTGTGTTGTCGTTTGTAATTATCCATTATTAGTGATAGTTTTGGTAATTAATTGTAACTAGCAATTAGTTTAATAATGTTTTCTATTGTAATCATTTTAATTTGGAAGCTTTTTCTTGGATAGTATTTATCTACAAGTTTACATGCATCAGATATCTCAAGTTCTTCCATATTTGATCAATTAGTAATATGGTGTCAGAGGTTAAATAGGATGTATTGTTAATTATCACTCAATCATTCTCGATCGTTGTTTTGCCTTTTGGTTTCTCTACGTTTACAAAACACTACTAGAAAACAAAGGCTTTAGCTACGACACAATTCATTGGTATACAACAATATGGCTTATGTTTGGGGTAAATTCTACCTATGGTTTATGTTTGGGGTTGTGCATGTTTTGTTTAGTTTTCTTCTCACAAACATTCAAAAGTTAAAGCTCATTTTCGTGTGTGTTATTTTATTGGTTATAGTATTGAACACAAATGACACTGATGTTGAGATCTTATCTCTAAACAATTTCGTATTACCTGCTATATCACTTTCTAGAAATACAAGTACTCTCTCTCTCTCTCTCTCTCTCTCTCTCTCTCTCTCGATAATTGAGTCATATGATTAATGACTCTCTCTCGACTCTCTACGAATACAAGTACTCTCTCTCTCTCTCTCTCTCTCTCTTGATAATTGAGTCATATGATTAATGAAAGAGGAAAATTATAAGGTTCTTGATGAAAGCATAAAATCAAAAAACAAGAAGGAGAATATAAGGGCTTGCTAACCCAAAAGGGCTAAATATAAAAGGAGCCCAAAACAAGTAGGCTTATAATAAAAATGGGCTAACATATATATATATATATATATATATATATATATATATATATATATATATATATATATATATATATATATATATATATATATATATATATATATATATATGCTAACACCCCCACCCCCCCCCCCCCCCACTCAAACTCACAATGCCACAGTAATAACCATTGAGAGTTTGTCACACAAGAACCAAAATCGAGACGCTAACAAAGCCTTCGTAAAAATATCAGCAAGTTCCAAGGTCAATGGAATAAATGGAAACGATATGGTGCCGAGCTATAAGTGATGACGAGTGAACTGACAATCAATCTCAATGTGCTTCGTCCGTTAATGGAAAACAAAATTCTTCGCAATTTGTATCACAGTAATAACCATTGAGAGTTTGTCACACAAGAACCAAAATCGAGACGCTAACAAAGCCTTCGTAAAAATATCAGCAAGTTCCAAGGTCAATGGAATAAATGGAAACGATATGGTGCCGAGCTATAAGTGATGACGAGTGAACTAACAATCAATCTCAATGTGCTTCGTCCGCTAATGGAAAACAAAATTCTTCGCAATTTGTATCGCACTTATGTTACCACAATACAGGGAAGTAGGTGAAGAAATGTGAACACGCATATCTGCAATAAGCCACCATAACCAAATAATCTCACATGTAGTCACAGCCTCCGTGGAAGATCTAGAAAGAATGCCATGTTTCTTTCTCTTCCATGAAATGAGAGACTCTACAAGAAACATGCAAAATCTGGTGGTGGATTTACCATCATAACGATCATCATCCCAATCATCATCACTATAGGCATGCAACTTAAGAGATAACCTCGAGGGAAACAAGAGGGTCTGAAACTAAGTGTTAAGAAGATATCTCAGAATACAGAGTACAATGCCCCCATTGAAAAGTAGGAGTAGTAACAAACTGACTGAAAGCATGAACAACATTAGCAATGTTCAGACGAGTAACTATGAGATAAACCAAACTTCCCACAATAGTCTGGTAAGGATTCATATCGGATAAATCAAGTATCAACCAACAAATCGAAATTCTCAGCTTGAGGCACTAAAGGTTTGGCTTTAGTCCCACTGCCATAGCCTCACATATTCGTCCCACGAAGGAAGTTCTTCATAACATAAGTTTGAATAAGTATAATTCTTTCCATCCAATTAAGTACTGACTGACTGAAGGGAATCATCCTTTCTAGTCATGTTTGTAACAGGTAGATAACCACAACAAGAAAAACAACATCAATAGACAAGTAAATAGATATGAAGAACAACAACTAGGGATGTGAAAAACTTCCGTGGGACCCCGTTCCCGAGGGATCCCGATACCGTACGAGATTAATTTTTGTAAAAATTTAGGGACGGAGCGAGGGTCGGGTCAAGATTAAACCCCGTTTTATTTTTGGAATCCGGGTCGAGACTGGGTATTTCCGTTCCATACTCCCGCTGGGGCCCTTTTTCTATATTTATATAAAAAGTGTGTGTGTGTGTGTATATATATATATATATATATATATATATATATATATATATATATATATATATATATATATAGACACACACACACACCCACACCAACACACACACACACCCACATGATTTTCAAATATGTGCCATAAATGCATATTTACGAAGCATTAATTGAAGTATTAATCATCAGGAATATTACCATAATTAAATATGATAAAAATTAATTATAAATAATATTATTTATAATTCATGTATTTTATATTTAATTATGGTAATATTACACAGGATTAATGTTTATCATATTTTATTATGTTTAAATTTCTTATAATTAATACTTCAATTAATGTTTTATATATATGCCCTGGCAGCTGATTCTTCCATTGATTTTTTTATTCTTCCACGTAATATGTTAGTTAATGGATGATTATACCCTTTATTTAAATATTATTATATAGTGTATTTTACATTTAAATGTGAAGTATTACACGTCCTTTTTAAGCTCTTCATCTCCTCACAAAGCTACTTCCTCCTGAGGCGTTGCAGTCTTCAATTGGTTTTCAAAAGACCAATACGTTTTGCAGTCTTCGTCAATGTATATGCATTTGAAAGAATGAAATGCAGTGATTGGAGAGTCCACGTATCTTAACACGACTGCTTAGAAACACATTCTAGTCTCTCAACTTTAAAGTTTATACTCTCCAGGAAGAATGTCCCTCAGGAACCTATTAATCTACACCTAAAATTATTTACCGAGAAGATTCTCCTTGAGAACACTATCATCGGAGCCCTTGAATACTATCACACAAACTTCATAAACTATTTTAAAACTAATTTCTTGTTCGATCGACCCTATAATGTCACACACATTCCCGTCGAAAAACTCATGTTACTTCAACACCTGTGTAATTGTAATGGAAATGAGAATATGGAGAAAAAGGAAACGACAACTGGAAAATCGAAAACTGGGTGGAAATCAAAAGGAAGCGGAGGAAGGATCTACAAACTGGGTTCGTTAGCCAATAATATTGAACCGATTGATCATCGGTGGAAAAACATGGGTGCACATAAGGGAAAATGTGACGAACAATTTCCGGTCACTACATTCCGTTCAGATGAGTTTATTACATTGCAACATTGGAGGAGGAAGATTAACCGTGTCGGGTTTATACGTTGAAAAAGAATCAAATCAACTCCTAAAATATGTTGGAATAATTAAAATACACTGTAAGGGGGCATAATAGTCGGTTACTAACAAAAAAATACGTGGATCGATAAAAATAAGCTCTAGATTTATTAGCTCCGATATGTCCTTAGGGAATATATATATATATACACACACACACACACACACAGAGTATACATTTTCTAATTTGTAATGTTGGATTTTTAATCTTTTAGTTCTTAAATAATTTTTTTTATATATTAAAGTTATGTAAAATAGTTTTTTTAGCCTAAAATATAACACTTTTTAGTTCCTAAAATATTCTAATACAATATTACGCTGACATATTCTAAAAAATAATTTTAAAATGCAAAATAAATGGAAAAATCCAAAAATTCTGTTTTTAAATATTGTTTTCGGAACTTGAATTAACTAAAAAAATTTAAAAAAATAAAAAAATGCATCTCACGGTCTCACAAAATTAGGCCGTCTCACATTAATCTAACCATGTATATATATATATATATATATATATATATATATATATATATATATATATATATATATATATATATATATATATATATAGGGGAGGGTTCAATTGAGAATAAAAAAAGTGAGAATAGGGGAATCATTCACAGCCAATCATTTATTTTTGCTGCAAAAACATCCAACGTACCGGCAGAAATGGGAAATGAATGCACATGTGTTTTCCAACAAAACATATTTTTTTAAACTATGGTAATCATTATCTTTATATATACAAAAACATAGTTTTTTTATTTTTATTTTTATTTTTAGAAGCTATTTTTATCAAAAAATGATTTTAAATATACCAAAATTCATGATTTTTTATTCTCTACAAATAGACATCCATATTGATATAGTTTTAAGATAAAATAAAAAAAATTATTTTTTTTATATTTTCTGCTATCGTTATTCATAAGTGAATAAAAATGTATTAGATTTTATTACAGTATATTCGTTATTCACTTATGAATAAAAAATATGATTATTTATTTATTTATTTATTTATTTATTTTTTACAATTTAAGTATAATCCATATATGAATATAGCATATAATAAACATAATATATTCATATTTTAATATTGAACTATACATTCACTTGTAAATATTAACATAGTATATTCACTTGTGAATATTAGATGATATATTCACTTATGAGTATTAAATAATATTTCATATGTGAATATTACATAGTATTCCATGGTATATCAAATGTGAATATTACATACTATATTCACTTGTGAATATTAGATGATATATTCACTTATGAATATTACACAGTATATTCACATATGAACATTACAAGGTATATTCACTTGTGAATATATTCACTTATGAATATTTGAAGGTATTTTGACAAATATATATAATTTTTATATGTTATTCACATATGAATAATATACAGACTTGCATATTTGTTTTGTGTTTTTAATAATCATATACTGATTCAGGTGAGAAAACATATTCATATGTGAATATAACGTGGTAATTTAGTTTATGCATTTCATCAAACAGTTGGAGTGCATACAAGTTAACTAGTTTAAAAAATGTTAAAAACATCAAGTTATCAAATCCAAATCATCATATACTTCCGATTTCGACTTCAGATGCGACAGCCTATGTCTGATCGATTTCTCATTTTGATTTTGATTTCCGAAAATCCAATTGGGAACCTCTGAGTATTATTCTGAGCCCTTCAATGTCGACTGTGACTGCGAGTCCAGAACTCCGATTCCAATTTCATGAACAGTGAAAAAATTCCGGTTTAGTTGAAGAAATCTGAATGTTTATTGAAGGTTGGAGGAAAATTTTTGATGATGAACGAATTGTTATCGATACATATTTGAGATTGAAAGTTATTAACATATTTACAAGTTTGTCACCGTGTCTTTTTATGCTTAGATTAAATGAGTGGCTAAGAATGATTCCTCCATTCTCAACCTTTTTTATTTTCTCAATTGAACCCACGTGTATATATATATATATATATATATATATATATATATATATATTCTAACATCTCTCTCCCGTCATCCCTCCCTCTCTTAATCCTATTTACAATCACATTTAATCTCTCTTTACCTTACAACGACATTAGTTTCACTAGATTCATTCCCAATTTCCCATTCGATTCAATCTTTCTAGATTTATTATATTTTTGTTTGTTAAACTATCTTGAACCTCCAATTACAACTTCTAAACACATCTCTATGACATATCCCTTATCTACGAATCCTACTTGGACTACATCATCTAAACCAAATTATTATGATTGCATAAGACACATTCCCTATTGGCTGTGTGATTTTTATTGCTACCCTATCTTATTGTCTAATCATGATTAAGTAAGACATAATCCTTATACCCTTCATCATTTAAGTTTGTAGCCTCCTTGTGATTGTTGAATCTCGTCACTGAATGCTCAATGGAAAAAGAATCCCTTTCTTAATGGTGATCTTGGTGAGAAAGTATGAATGCCCCCTCCAAGTTTTGTCTCTTAATATGTTTTAGAATTTCAAAATACAATTTCTTGTCTTAACAAGTTCCACAATGATAGCGTAGAAAAAACTCAACACTGCTCTCACATATATTGCTTTCTCATTGAGTCACAATGTGTATATACTTTGCACGTATACCACATATGTGTATAACATTCTATAATTACTCTATGTTAATGATATAATTATTACATAAGATGATAGTTCCAATATTATAAAGCTAAAATCATCCTTTTATTTTTCTTCTTTGAAATACATCTCACGTCAGCTATCAATTAAAGGCTTATGGATAAGGAAGTGGATTTCCAAACCACTTGAGTTGAAAAGTAACTTTATTATTACGGGTGATGTTTCTCTTATAACTCAACTATCTACCTTACATTTACACGAGTTGATCTTGTTTATGTTGTTCAAATGGTCCCTGGTTTATGAAAGGGCCTGATCTTGATCAACACCAACCATCTTTCATATCTTTCAATATGTTAAGGTTAAAATGGTCCATATGCTTTGTTTTTCATTAAGATCATCACTTCTTCTATTTAGAAACATTCTCTTATAGAGATTGTGATGGTGAGTTGAGTGGCATATAGTCTATTACATGTTGTTGTTTTCATCTTGGTGATGCAGTTACATGGTGAATGACTAAGAAACACTTTGGCCACTATAGGTATTGATTACATGAGAGCTCCATAGCCCTTCCCAGACTACTATGTTGCAACATAAAAAACTGTATTCTGATTTTATATAAAAATGCAACACGCTCTAGCTCATGTTAGGTTCTTCTTAAACCTAACCGAGACCATTATAAACATTGATAGTTTCTTTTTGAACAACAAACAAAATATTCTTATAATCAACGAAAAATAAGGAGCTAGTCCAAAAACAATAGTTAAAAGAAAGTAATGGAATTTAATAAAAACAAAAATCTTGTCAAAACAAAGAATAAGATATATCATCCTTTCTCACCAAAAGGCCTTTCGCCTAGCGGTAAGGAGTGACTTTCTCAATGAGAGGTGATGAGTTCAAATCTCACTAGGAGATATAGATGGTGTTTAGGATTAGATTAGGAATAGGATGGTGTCCCCTTTCAAAATATATATATATATATATATATATATATATATATATATATATATATATATATATATATATATATATATATATATATATATATATATATATATATATATATAAAGCGTTTACAATTAGTAGGTTAAGTTGACTAGTTCAACCCATTATATACCACTTTGTTGTCACGTTACCAAATTAAATAGTTGATCATGCCAAGCTTGAATGGTACAAATATTATGACATAATATACATACATTCATAATGTTTTTTAAAACAAAAACTTAATTTATTAAGACACACATATAAGTGCGTTAATAAATTTATATATCGGCGTGTGCATATATGAAGTTTTGTTTTGTTTTATGTTATGCACACATGCACTTATGTTTGTTCACATATGCATGTTAAAATATTCATGTATTTTTGGAGTTTTTTTACAAATATAATTATATGCATGTGTCTTAATGCATTAAGTCTTTTTAATTTCTATGTATGTATATCTATAGGTTTGTCTTGGATAATAATAAATGTAAATTTAGTAAGATACTTATGCAAAATGTTAGTTCGATATCCTATTTTGCAACAAATTAAAAGTACTCTGTGATAAAAATTAAGAAATAATCGGATTTTGTAGCCTCTAAAAAGATATTTGGTATATGAGCTCTCAAATCATTATATATAGTCATGGATAGTGCATTGTTGATGTCTTCTCACGGTGTTACATCTTTCGCTATAACTAATCATTTTTAATTATTTTTGCTTAGAATTATGGCATTTTTTTAATTTTCCTAAAACTTTTGCTACAAAATATTCGCTACTGATTGTAAGACTTTGACATGTATTTTTACATATGTATATCATTTTTGCTATAACATTATGTTAGTTTTTATTACCTTGAAGGAAATTGACAAACTAAATTATATTTTGAAGGTGGTAAGTGATGAAAGTGTACATACTCAAAGAGAAATGCCTCTTCTTGTCTATGTATCTCGTGAAAAGAGACCTTATCATAACCACCAGTTCAAGGCTGGATCTCTCAATGCCCTCGTACCACTCTATTTCTCTATTTCTCTTTATCTATCTACATATACATGTATAAACAAACCTAATCATAAACTAACATAATGAACATACATTTGCAGCTTAGAGTGTCGAGTTTAATAAGCAATTCACCATATATCCTAGGCCTGGATTGTGACATGTACTGCAATGATGCAAATTCAGCACGTCAAGCGATGTGTTTCCACCTTGCCCCTATATCTTCCTCTCTAGCTTTCGTCCAATTCCCACAAAGGTTTTATAATATCAGTAAACATGATATCTATGAGAGTGAATTGAGATCTACTTTTAAGGTGAATAAATCTTATCTTAGTGTTTGACGACTAAAGAAAAATTGTAACATTTTCAATGCAAAGATGGAATAGTAATATTCATATCCCCTTTGATATGACACACAAACATATATTTTAGTAGAGTTTTAAGTTCTCATTTTCACTTTATTTCATTTTATTCATTAATGGATTTTTTGGTTGTTAAAATTAGACACTCTGGTCAGGAATGGACGGGATCAAGGGGCCTTGTTTATCTGGAACATGTTATTACTTAAAGAGAGAAGCACTCTATACGCATCATTTACCACTAGAAGGTTTGTGCCAATTCATTGTTTCAATTATAAGAATGCAAATGAAAAATAATAATTCATGCATGCACACGCACACACACGCAAACAATAATTCAGATACTTCCATCTATTGTTGTTAGGAAAAGGCAATATTTCTATATAATCGGTTACATAGAGGTTTTGGTATCCTTTCAAAATTCATTTTAGAGGATTATAAATATTCTTATTCACCCATAATATATTCGTTTCTTACATCGATTATTGTAGCCCCTATATATGATTAATGCATATATAGATGCGTGCATTATCTAAGTATTTAGAGATTACATTAATTGATGAAAGAGCTAGAGAAATAAGTTAGAACTAAAAAAGAATGAGAAAATTAAGCCTAAATTTATAAACCTATAACAATGCCAATATCTCTATGTAACCAATTATATGGAAACATTTGTTTTTTCTAGTTACATTAGATGGAAGTTACCGAGTTTTGTTGATATTTAGCAACAATGTCGGTAAATTAAAAAAAAAAAAAAAAAAACATTTTGTTCATTATCTATATATTGAACCAAGGGTGGGGTTTTTTTATTTATTTATTTATTTATTTTTATTATTATTTTTTTTAATAATAATAATTTTAATGTCATTTTATTCATTATCTATATATTGATATATGTTGGACTTTTATATTAGATCTGTGAAAATGTGTTACTATAATAGATATTTGTTAAATATTTTTGGTTGTTGATATGGTCAACTTGTCATGAATTTACACAAAAAAAGGTTATTAAAACATTTCTCTCAGTTGTGGATGTTATTATACGTTATATTACACCAATTTAATATCAATTTTGTTAATTAATAATAATAATTTTTTGTGTAATATTCTAGACATAAATTTAAAGGAACTCAAAGAGTGTTTTGGTTCGTCCAATGATTTCCTCAAATCGATGCATCAAAAATACTGTGAAAATATGGATTATGGGAAAGTGCTGAGTGATGGGCTGTTACAAGAAATTAAGCTTTTGTCCTCTTGTGGATATGAGAATAACACAAAATGGGGAAAAGAGGTAAGAATTTGAATGCAAATGTTTGTTCATAGTTAAACATCAGTAAACGTTTTTTTGGAACGACAAAAAACACTTATTTTATAACTAGAAAAAAGTGAAGGTCTCTCAAATGATTTGCCACCCATAGTTTGACGTACTCTTTTGATGCTACGTTGTTGTAGGTAGGTTTTAGATACTTTTCTGTAGTTGAAGACTACTTCACAAGCTTCAATATGCATTGTAAAAAGTGGGTTTCTGTTTATTATATGCCACAAAAAGCAGCTTTCTTGGGATCTTGCACAACAAGTTTAAATGATTCTCTTATTCAAGGCACTAGATGGACTTCAGGGTTGATCGAAGTTGCTTTATCAAGGTTCTCTCCTATTATTTATGGACCATCAAGAATGTCTATTCTTCATAGTTTTTGTTATGCATGGTTGGCTTCTTTTCCTTTTACTTTCTTACCTTTTTGGATTCTTGCCACCATTCCTCAACTCGCCTTGCTCAATGGCGTCACTGTTTATCCTGAGGTAAGGGAATTTAACAAAAATATTTCCTACTATTTTTGACATTCCATTATATTTCACAAGAATTAGCTATATGTATATGTCAAGTTCCTTTCTCGATAACCTTTCTTTGTTAATATTTAGGTTAAAAGCCCATTCTTCCTTATCTTTTTGTATGTGTTTGTATTATCAAATTTACAACACATGAGGGAGATTCACTCCACCGGAGCTTCCCTAAAAGTATGGATATATGAACAAAGGACTTGGATGGTAAAGGGAATTACATGTCATCTTTATGGAAGTATGTATGCAATTATGGAAAAACTTGGTGCAAAAGAAGCAAGCTTCCTACCAACAAATAAGGTGATTGATGATGATCAGGTAAAACTATATGAAAAGGGCATATATAATTTCCAAACATCAAGTATGTTTCTTGTGCCCCTTTGTTCTTTGATCATCCTCAATCTACTAGGATTTCTAGTGGGGATTATTAAAATAGTATTTGAAAGAGACTACATTTATGACATCTCTATACAAACTTTTATCTCATTTTACATCATATCCATGGGTTACCCGGTACTCGAAGCTATGCTATTGAGGAAAGACAAAGGAAGAATAACGACAAGTGTAAGTTGTTATTCATTTGTATTTTCTATATTTATTTTGTTTCTTGGGTCCCTTCTTATTATGTATTAGTTGATTTTAAAAAAATCTTTAACATTGTTCGGTACTAAAATGCACTTAAGTTATTATTGATAATGTATATTGTTGTATTGTGTTTTTGATATGGAGTATGTTATTGATATGCTTCAAATGGAGGCCCCTTTTGGTGGGAAATGACAAGAATGAATCTTGGGGAGGGCTTAGTTACCATCTTAACTTGGGAACAATTTAAAACCAATTTTAATGAAGAATATTGTTTGGAAGTTATGATGTCTTAATTGGAGGTAGATTCCTATCGCATAAAACTAAGCTTGAGAATGGTTTAAGACTACAACATATAATTGAATGAGAAGGCAAGCTTCACCCAACATGCATAAAGCTGGCATCCAGAACTAAAAGTTGGATCGTAATTTGTGGGGAATTTAATCTCAAATTCAAAAATAAATTATAATAGAGCATGTTTCAAGAAGTTTATTATGCCGGGGGATCATAAGAATGATCTACTAACACGATATTCCTAAAAAAATGGTACATACAAACAAAACTAGAGATGATACAGGGTGACCCCCATGAAAAAACAGGGAACTCATTATGCAAAAGTAAAATGCATAATAAATATAAAAATAAATAAATACACTTAAAGAAAAAGTCGATTTCACTACGAAAAGAATTCGTTACAAAAACTGAAATTCCGTTGCAAAAGACAAATAACTATGTAATTTGCAACAGCTAAATTCCGTCCCAAAAAAAAACCTAGCGAAGAGTCTACAACGGAATCTATACTTCCTTTGCAAATGTGACAACGTAATGAAATCTGTAGCCTATGTTTTTCTGTCGCACTTTCCATAGACGAATTATGTTACGCATTTCGTAGTCGTGTGTCAATTGCGAATTTCGTAGTCCTCTTTCTGTAGCTAATTCCATTGTATTGATTTTGTCGAAAATTCTGTTGTAGTGGATTCACAGCAACTTCCGTAGCCATATCGTTGTAGAAAATTATGTGGTCTTGGTTCAATTGCTAAATCAGTGGTCTAGATTCTAAAGCAGCTTTTGTAGCCAAGATTCCACAGAAAATTACGTAGCCATGATTTCGTAGCAAAGTCTATTGCCATGTTTCTGTAGCACAATCTGAAACATCCCAAAAACACAGTCTGAAAATTTCGTTTAATTTAATAATAAAAATCATAGTCGATAAACCTCCTATAAAAATCATAAGCAATGTATCTCAAAATATCATCACAACTGTCAAGTATATTAGAGTATAAATATCCCAGGCTGAACAAATGATGTGTGCACTGCAATCTTCCCGAGCTCCTCTTTTGAAAACTGAGTACCTGAAACTGTAAGCACGAAGCTTAGTGAGCTCCCCCAAACTACCACATATCATACAATAACATGTAAACACATATTGGGTCTTGCCCACTGCATCGGACTCAGGTCCGAAAACTGCATCGCCGAAGCCTGGACTAACTGGGACCTTGCCCCTTACATCGGACCGAAGTCCGGAAACTGCATCGGGCCGAAGCTCGGACTAACTGTGACTATGTCCCCTGCATCGGACTGAAGTTCGGAAACTGCATCGGGCCGAAGCCCGGACTAACTGGTACCATGTCCCCTGCATCGGACTAAAGTCCGAAACTAACTGATAATAACATAACATAAACACATATCAACTAGTATAAACACATATACTGCATACTGCATCAGACTGAAGTACAGAACATATAACACATAAGCATGCTTGAATCACAGAGACATCAAGCACCCTAATTATTGCATCGGAACGAGGTCCAGAACCAACTGAACATAGCATAACATAATCATAGCATATAATATGAACACATATACTGCATACTGCATCGGACCATAATCCGGAACACATAACTCATACCATGCTTGTATCACAAAGACTCCAAACATACTGAACTACTGCATCAGACTGAAGTCTGGAACTACTGCTAACTAAACGGGCTGACATTGTGGCCGTAGACCCGTTCCTACTGGAAGGAAACTCATTTGGTACTGCTGAACTTGCTGATAACCCCCCCCCCCTTGGCTGCTAACCGACAACCTTCTGAGCCGCTGCTCCTCTAACTCTCTGAGCTACCAATATCAAAATGATACTTAGTCTGACAGTCCTTCAAAAGTCAACTAAGTTAACTCTGGTCAAAAGTCAAAGTCCTGGTCACAGTCAACCTTCCAGGTTGACCCTACTCGCCGAGTCAGCCTACTGACTCACCGAGTTCATAAGCTCTGAAATCCCTTTCATCCGCGACTCGACGAGCCGAGTCAGACCATGACTCGCCGAGTCTACTGATTTCCGAGTCCTGACCTATCCACTCACTGGGTCCCCACTCAACTCACTGATCCGAGTCTTATCTTAAAGGGTTTAGGGTTTCGCGACCTGACTCACCGAGTCCAAGAACAGACTCTCCGAGTCCATGTCAATATTCAATAGAATCGCTGAGTTATTCATCAAACTCGTCGAGTTCATCTCCATCTTCATACTACTCGTCGAGTCCACTCGAAGGACTCACCGAGTCTATTCAATCCTTCACATAATAAGAGGCTTTTAAGTCATGCATGGACTCCAAACTGTAGATCCACTCTTCTAAAGCCTATTCCTTATGTAAAGTGGCAAACTTTATGTGTAGCTAAGGAGATCTAGGCTCAAAACACTATAAACTAGGGTTTAAGACAAAGGGGCTTAACAATCAGCCCATAGACTGATGCTTTATGATTCTCTAGACCAAGATACACTTAGATCTGAAGTAGCAACTTCAGATCTTGGCTTCTAACTCGAAATGGTTTATAAACTTGCCCTAAAAGCCCCAATTCAAATGATAAAGGTTGATCTATATGCAAAGGAGTGAAGGTAGCGACTCATTACCTTTAAATGCTCTGGAAAATCCCACAAACTCTGGATCTACTGCCAATCCTTGAATCCCCAATGGTTGCCTTCTTCCTTCTTCCTTCAAATCACCCACAATAGCAAGAAAGCTTGAATGAGCAACAGTGGAGGCTTAGGGTTTCGGGTTCTGGACTATAGGGGCCGCAAATGAGCCCTAGGGAAGAGAATAAGATGCTTAAATAGGGTACCAAGTACCGAAATTAGGGTTTCCCAACCCAGACCAGACTCGTCGAGTCCACTTTCCGACTCGCCGAGTCGGTCACTTACTTTACACCTGGATCCCGCTCTGACTCGCCGAGTTCCTCTTTAACTTAGGGTTTTTCCTTTCCTTTCTTGACCTTTCTGATTTCGGGTGTTACAACTCTCCCCCACTTCAACTAAACTTCATCCTCGAAGTTCTCTATGGTCAACTGGCCTGCAATCCGCCTCAACACCCTGCCTGGTGACTTTAACCCCTTTTGTCCATCACTCCAGCCACTCACAGTGCTGGTCACTATTGTTGGTGCATACTGAATTCTTCTCTTTTCCATAATTTCCTTAACGTTACTTCCTCCGATTGAAAATTCTATTGCCCCTTATCCGCCTCCCGGATGCACTGAGACCACCCTGGTCCAACTAATCTGTCGATATCTGAGTTATCGGACTCCCATCGGTCACTACAACCCATCGCAACCTACTAGTTACTTCCAGCAACTTCTGAAGATACTTTGATTATCTATAACTGTTCTATCCACTCTGCCACTCATGCTGAATCGATGCAGCTGGAACCAACCTGCTTATCTCTCATCTGACTACTCAACTTCCAATAACTCGAGCCTTCCATCCAGGAAGAAAGGCTACCTGCCTAATTATCCTTGCAGATCACTTATACTTGGCAGAAAACTCAACTGATCCTGCTGAGATGGACTTGCCATTCCAAATCGACCAACTATACTGTCAACACTTGCATTCCAACACAAATACTAATACTGGCCATCATACTGAAACTATCCGAAACACTGAACTGCATGCAATACTGAACTGCCTGAAGCACTGTACTGGCTAAAACACTAAACTGGCTGAAACACTGAACTGACTAAAACACTGAACTGGTTGAAGCACTGAATTGGCTGAAACACTGAACTGACTAAAACACTGAACCGGCTGAAGCACTGAATTGGCTGAAACATTGAACTGATTATATGGCTGCTTCCCACAACATCTCAAGACCTTCCTGGTCTCCAATCATTCATCGGTTATCTGCAACACTGAGTTCCAACTCAGCTGTGGAGCCCAAGGACTCCTTACTTAGTCGCTCCCATAGGGATTATGGGCATTGTAAGGTCATTTCATCTCATATGTGTAAGTAGAGACCTAATTTAAGTTCCATAAGTAAGGCTTTTAGTGATAGCCTAGCAATAAGGTTGCTAGTTTATTGGAATTAACTTTGGTATGATACTATATTGGATGTTTAATGCAATTTGAAAAGGTTTTCTTGATTAGTTTCATATAATGATGGCCCAAAGAGGAGTTCTATAAGTAAATTAAATTATGGCCATGATCCAAAGAGGTGGTTTTTGACGAAATGTTTGTACGAACACAATGCATGTCTGGTGAAGTGAAACACAATAAGAGCTACACTTAGAGTGGGAAGAATGACATAGAAGGTAAAGTAGTAATTTGTTTAAAAAATCCAACAAAGAGGATTGACGTTGGGTGCACACTGAGGACAATGATGTTCGATTAGGTGTCTAAACCCATAACTATAATGTGTATATACTTAAATTGATAGTAGCATAGTTCTTTTGAGTTCCCCTCAAAACTAGCAGTTGGATAGATGATTTTTGAGAGAGAAGTTGATTTTATTATTTGATTAATAAATTAGTAATTTTTAATTAATATTTAATCAAAAATTAATTGGAATTAATTTCATGATTAAAAGAATTAATTAATAAGTGCAGGGACCTAATTATAATTGTTTAATAGTTGAACAAAAGGCAATCTAGAGTCATCCATATGGTGGGGATGATTTCTTGGAGCCCAAGGATTTATAGAATAATCCCTGGTAGATAAATAGGAAAGTGGACAATTACCCGGTTTAAGATAATCTTGGATTTGGGCTTATCTTGGGTTTCATGACCGCACTATAAGTAGGGAATAACCCTATGATTTTCGGACAACCTTTTATTTGGAAGACCTGGCCAAAAATTCCATCCTCTCACCTCTTTCTCAACCATTCTTCCATAACTAGTGTTGGGTGTGAACCATTAGAGGTGTAACATTTGTTGTGCTTGCTCTCAAGGCTTCAAGAACACAAGATTTTCATTCTTATTACTACATAACAACCGATATATGATTTTCTTAACCCTAATTGTGAATTTTGATTATATACTAGCATTCTAGGGTTTTCTAGTTTGTTTTTCAAGTTGTATGTTCAATTAGAGAAAATGTAGATCAGTGTATTTAGGGTTGCATACACACATAAGATTTCTTGTTATGCTCAAACCACATCAATGGTATCAGAGAGTAGGTTTAGTTTTGTATTGAATTGATACAATGGTGAACATGAACAAAGAGGAGAAAACAGAATCATCATTCTGTTCTTCAAACACATCGTGGTGTTCATCTAACACAAAGTGTTTGCCTGCAACACAGCGTGTTGATCTTCTAACGAAGCTTGTTGAGCTGTTAAATATGAAATTTTCTACGTTAGCTGTCTAATCTGCTTTTATATGATAATTACTTGCCGTACTTATCCTCTAAATTTGATTTTGGTGTATCTATAATGATAAATTAAAATCCTAGAAGTTAGGTGATAAATAAATGGCTTAATGAATTAGTTTTTGTTGATTAATATGATTATTTTTAGTGTATAAATAAATCTAGATATTAATTAAATTAAATAACTAATGTCAAATAATAATTGGTATTTTGAAAAGTTTAAAATATATCCTTATGGATCTTATTATTAATTTGATTAAGTAATTAAGTAAAACATAATTAATAAATCCATAAAACTGTTTAAATTTAATTAAATTAAAAGTTTAATTTATTAAAATGTTAAACCCTTGCAATTTTAAAATGTTTTAAAATTCACCTTATACTATGTATTATTAAAAGTTTAATATATATTATACATATAAGAAAAATCA